GGCATGGAGAGAAATCGGGCCGCACCAAGTCCGCGGGGGCCTCGCGAAGCCCGTCGGCACGTGGAGTTTGCAGCAACAAGTGGCAACCACGACATCATGGCACCAATGCCACTCAAGCCGCAGTGCCCGCCCTGTTTCGATCCAAGCCAACGTGGAGGTCCGACGGTTCAGTCGTGGGTTTTCACGATGAACGTTTTTTTCGACGCGAATTACGTCGAGTCGGACGCAGCGAAGATTCGCTACGCTGTTTCGCTGCTGAGGGGCCCCGCCATGGACTGGTGGCGAGTCATCGTGACGTCGCCACGCGCCTACGAGCCACCGTCGCAAGAGGAAGGGCCCACGGGTCCAGCCGTCACCTGGAGTTCATTCTGCGAAATAGCCCAATACAGCACGTGGGATGCGTGGTGCGCAGGGCTTCGGGTGCGCTTCGGGCCGATCGCGGCTTCTATCTCAGCGCGTCAAAAACTGCGTACTTGGCGGCAGCTCGGGTCGGTTCAAGACTACACGAGTGGTTTTCTCGCATTATGCGAGCAAGTCGGCTACATGCACGAAGCGGAGCGGGTGGACCGTTACGTCGGAGGGCTGAAGCCGGACATCACGCACGAGATCATGCTACGCGGGCTCTCGAACTTCAACGAGATTCTCGCGCTCGCCGAGAAAATCGACATTTTGCGCCGTCCGAGACCGGGGTCCTACTACGGACATCGCCCTCGGGGACCGATCGAGCACGCCACCGTACATGCCGTTGCGACGAATGCAGCTGCCGCGCCGTTTAAGGGGCGCTGCTTTGCTTGCAATAGGCCGGGCCATCGCAAGAGTGAATGCCCAGAGGAGCTAAGGCGCCGCGGAGCAGAGCAGGGGAGGGAGTCTCCAAGGCAGGGAAACGCCAGCAGTCAGTAGGAATCGGGCCAACTACTGACGAGACTGCCTGCTCGCCCAACCCCACCGACCCTCACCGAGTCACAGTACCGATTCATGCTATCGACGGCCTCGGACGAATAAGGAGGGTACAGCGACGGATTGCCCAGTACTGATCCACGGGAAAATACAGGGAGCAGCAGTGAAGATTTTTATTGACGGAGAAGCAAGTCACAGTTTAGTTAATACTGCAACCGCCCGAAAACTGCAACTGACACTTAGCCGTTGTTTACCTGAGATAGACGCACGCTTAGACGACGGCACGCCACTGGCCATACGGGAAAAGGTGGAGAGAGTCAAAGTCCGCTGCGGGGGGAATTTCGGATTTACACAGGAAATGCTCGCAACGACACTCGATGGGCACGACATTTTACTAGGACGTGATTGGCTGCGACGGTATGACCCGCGAATTGACTGGACGACGGGTAGCTGCACTGTGCGAAGTAGCGGTAACTGGGTCGAGCTACCTCGCTGGCAGTCGCCCGAGTCTTCAACGGTACACGTCAATGTCGTCACCATGAAACGGGCTGTCGCTGCTGGGGCTGACGTGTACGCCGTAGACATTGCAGTGGTAGAAGGAGCAGAGCAGCCGAGCGATTTCAAGAAACTGTTGGCAGCAGTACCGCCCGAACTACAGGAACTGTTGAAACGATACCCCGTGATTTTTCCCGACGACTTACCAGAAGGGCTGCCACCTCAGCGAGCACATGACCACCGAATAGAATTAGAACCGGGGGCACAGCCAACTGTACAGTGCCAGTTCAGACTGACACAGCCCGAGCTCGACGAACTGAGGAAGCAGTTAGATTACCTGCTAGAGAAAAAATTCATCCGACCGAGCTCGTCACCGTTCGCCGCACCGATACTGTTCACACCAAAAAAAGACGGGGGTTTTCGCATATGTATCGCCTACAGAGCACTGAACAGGGTAACAGTCAAGTCGTGGTACCCCATTCCCCGCGCCGACGAACTGATTGACCAACTGCGAACAGCACGGGTTTTTTCAAAAATAGATTTACGGGGAGGTTACCATCAGATTAGGGTCGAACCATCGGACTGCGCCAAAACAGCATTTAGAACTAGGTATGGGTCCTTCGAGTACACCGTGATGCCATTCGGGCTGACCAACGCACCGGCGACTTTTCAGATGACCATGAACGAGGCGTTTAGGCCGCTCTTAGATAAATGTGTGATAGTTTACCTCGACGACATCCTAGTTTACAGTCGGGATAAGCAGCAGCACTTGGCAGATCTGGAAGCAGTATTTAAGGTTTTAGACGAGCACAGATTACTGACCAAGGGTTCCAAGTGCGAGTTCTTCCAGGATAGGTTAGAATTTTTGGGGCATGTTATTTCGGAGGCTGGAGTTGAAATCGACCCAAAGAAGCTGGACACAGTAAAAGCGTGGCACCCCCCGACGAACATCACGGAGCTGCAGAGCTTTTTAGGGTTCGTTAATTATGTGCGTCGGTTCGTCCCCGATATGGCGCGGTTAACTGCCCCACTGACGGATTTACTGCGGAAGGGGGTCGCTTTTACGTGGGGGGAGAAAGAGCATGCTGCCTTCGCTGCCCTGAAAAATGTTCTCTGTTCACCGCCCGTCTTGCGCATCGCCGACCCACACCGCCCATTCGAAGTAGTTACCGACGCAAGCGACATCGCCATCGGAGCCGTACTGCTACAGGACTTCGGCAACGGCCTACAGCCCATCGCATACGAGTCATGAAAACTGCATCCGCCCGAGAAAAATTACCCGATACACGACCACGAAATGCTTGCGATCGTGCACGCGTTCAAAGTGTGGCGCTGTTACTTGACCGGCGCAGACGTGACAGTACGGACAGACCATAAATCACTACAGTACCTTCGTGCACAGCCACACCTCAACCCACGACAGATTCGCTGGCTTGATTTCCTCGAGTCCAACTTACACTACACGGTCACTTACAAAAAGGGAGCCTCGAACATCGCCGACGCACTGACCTGCCCCACTGCCCAGATCCACGCAATACTACTCGCCCAGACAAGCCCACTACTGACAGGCCTATGTACCCACGGGTACCAAACGGATCCATTCTTCACAGGAGGAAATTCGCAGCAGTTCGCAGCAGCAAGGGGAGTCTATTACGTAAAAGCGGGGACTGACCGCATTTGGGTGCCTAAGTATACACTGCTACGGGAATTACTGTTACAGGAGGCACACGACGGAGTTACCTCGGGGCATTTCGGAGTAGAAAAAATATGGCAGCAGCTGCAGCGGTATTATTACTGGCCCGAAATGTTGACCGACGTACAACGTCACGTGGCATCGTGTCCCACTTGCCAGCTCATGAAATCATCACAACAACGGTCGGCGGGACAGTTGCAGCCGATACCACCCCCAGAGCGTGCTTGGCAGCAGGTGACGATGGACTTCGTCACGGGGTTACCGGCCGGGGCGAGTGGGAACGACGCGATCCTGGTCGTCGTCGATGACTGACGAAAATGGCACACTTCGCAGCATGCAAGAAATCCATCACAGCCGAAGAAACAGCTCGCCTCTTCATCACCACCATCGTTAGATTATACGGGATACCAGCAGCGATCATCAGCGACCGCGACAAGAGATTCACCAGCAACTTCTGGCGGAACCTGTGGCAGCAGTTCGGCACGCGACTGCAGTTCAGTTCATCATACCACCCCGAAACCGACGGACAGACAGAACGGACAAATCAGACCATGGAACAGCTCATCAGGGCCACGTGCGACGACCCGACCACGTGGGAACAGCAACTGCCACTCATCGAATTCGCGTACAACAACTCGCCATCCGCCACTACCCAACAGTCACCATTTTACCTAAACTACGGACAAGACCCGACAGTACCCATGACCCCGAATCCCGACAACCCAGTGCCACGAGCACAACAGTTCGCCGAAATATTACAAGCAGCACGGACCCGGGCAGCAGACGCAATAAAAAAATCCAACATCATCGCTAAACGTAACGCCGACCGCCACCGCAGACCTGTCACTTACCAGCCCGACGACCTAGTTTTACTTGACACTCAGAACCTCCGCCTGCCCATCACCCCAAAACTCCGCCCCCGATACTGTGGGCCATTTCGCATAAGCCACATGATTACGCCCGTCACCGCCCACCTCCTCCTCCCTGCTGACTGGTACGTTAGCCCCTCATTCCACGTCAGCCTGCTTCGCCCTTACATCCCATCCACGAGCCAACTGCCACGCAATCGCCCAGCCAGCATGACACGACCGCCAACTGAACCAATCATCACCCCCGAGAAAATCCTGAGCCACCGAGTTCGTGACCCTCGAGGAGACCGAAGGATCGAGTTCCTGATCCGCTGGAAAGACCGCACACCCACTGAAGACAACTGGGTTCCCCTGGACAGAATCGAAAACCACCCCGTCCTCACCGAGAATCTGCGCAGCCGAAATTTCAGGGATGTACACGCGCTTTCGTATGGAGGACCTCCTTAAGGGGGGGGGGGTAGTGTAAGGAAAATTCCTTTTCCTTACTTCGCGCCCCCGCTCAGCGCATACACCACTGTAGCACCACAGTCAGCACCGTTACCACTCGCGACCCTCGCATCGACAATCCTCCCGCCACCTTCGCACATCGCACCCCGACCTCACGGCTCGGCGGGTAACCCGCGCTCCGGGCCTCCGCTTCGACATTTTCCCAACCTCAGTCCCAGGCCCGTCGCGCGACAACCACAGTCCATTACCGTTACCACTGTAGTTTCGCTATATATTCTTCGCTCATGCCTTAGCTCATTGTACTCTTGCTTTGATAGTGTAATTCTCGTTCGTTCACTCAATTGCACTCGTAACAACATCCCATCCCACACCCCATTTCTCCCCCCCCCCCCCCTCCAATCACAACAGCGTATCGACCATGTACGGGGCCTCCACCCAGCGATTGGTTGTGGAGGGGAGCACTGACACACGGCTGTCAGCGGGCCTGAGAAAGGTTTCCCTCTGAGCTCTGGTGCGAGTTTCCAATCGCGAGTGGAAGCGGTCACGTTCCACGCCCTTTCTACTACTGGGACCACGCGGCGCTCGCTCTCATAGTCGTCATGCCCACGGCGCTTCCCCGCTCAATCGACGTACCCGCCGCCGCGTCCCCACCTCCGTGCCGCTGCTTCACCGCGCCTGCCGCCCAGTCCCACTCTACTGCCGTGCATGGTCCCTCTGCTGATTACCGACCCGTCCTCGATCCCCCGCCGCGCCATTTCTCCGCGTGGTCCAAGCGCCGCCTCTCCGCGCCCCCCACCGCCGCTCCGGACGTGCCGTCGCACGGCGGTCCCGTGGCGGGCGAGAGTGGTCGCGGCCCCTCGTCGCACGCGAGCAACATCGCGCGATCGCTGGCGACGAACGCGCGCCGCCTGCAGAGGCAGCTCCGACGACTGGCTGTTCGCCATGGCAGGTGACAGGACGGCGAGGGGGAAGGGGGGAGGGGGATGGGGGGAGGGAGGAAGGGGAAGCGGGAAAGTAGTGAAGTGACGAGGGGCTAGACAGGAGAGCGAGATGAATGGAAGGGCGAGTGAAGGGATAGGGGATGCGCATTCGGGATGGGAGAGGGAGGGCAGCAGCGGATTGCAGTGGGTGGTGCGTGAAAGGCGCTGAGATGGATTGTGGGTTCTCCCGGGCGCCCCTTTGGAATGCAATGCATGTGCACGACTCCCACTTCTACCGCTGTCTTCCCACTTCTTCCCCCCCGCTGCGGCCCATGTGCCTCCGTGCCAGATCCTTCATGTCCCTCCCTCGTCTGCTCCTCTGTGTGTCTCTGCGTGCATGCGTGCGTGCCATGCGCAAAGGCACTTGAACCTCGGTGTGGCAGTCGTGCACCTTCCCTCTGGCCAGTCCGCGAACGTGCGAGCGGGCCAGCAGTTCCCGTTGGCGAGTGTGGCGAAGCTGCCTCTGCTCTTCGCAGCAGCGCACGCCCTCCACTGCCCCTGCCCCTGCCACTCCACCCACCACCCACACGCCCCTGCTGCTGCACCCTTCGCCTCGTGCAGCAGTGGCAGCAGCAACGAATGGCCGCCATGTAAGGTCCGCATAAGCCACTCTCCCCGCCCGCCCACCACTCGCGCCGCACCTCCCCCTGCCTTCCCCTTGACCCTGCTGCACTTCCCGCAGCACCGCTCCCAGGCTGCAGCACGCCCCTCATGCCTTGCGCCGCCACCCCACCCCCTCGCCATTGGCAGTGCGGCGGCTGTCACCGAAGAGCATGCTGCAGGTGCGCGAGGAGGACAAGTGCATTGGCAGTGGCCTCATGCGCTCCCTGCCCAGGTGCGCCCTGCTCCCCCCTCCTCCGCCCTCGCGCCCTCCTCATGGCAACTGGCCACGTGCATGAGGCGAGTGGCCACCATGCCCCATGCACGTGCTGCTGCCGCACGCTGAGGCCCTGTCACCCCTGCATGCTCAGCAGCTCTCATGGCGTCGCCATGCTGCCATCCGCTTCACCTCCTCAACTCAACGCATGTCTCACCCGCTCTCCCTAGCACCCTTCTGTGCACCCCTTTCTCATCCGCACCTTCCCCAACCTCCCCTCCTCCAGCTGACCCTTCCCTACCCCCACCATGTACACCACTGCATGTATGTGTGTGTGTGGGAGGTGGGGGGAGTGGGTGTGTGCGCGCGCGCACGTGTGTATGTGCATTTGTGCGTGCGTGCGTGCGTGCGTGCGTGCGTGCGTGTGTGTGTGTGTGTGTGTGTGTGTGTGTGTGTGTGTGTGTGTGTGTGTGTGTGTGTGTGTGCAGTGGCATGGCAGTGGCGGTGCAGCAGTGTCTGTGGCTCATGAACTGCATCTCCGATAACACCGCTGCCGACCTTGTCAGTGCCCCCCCTCCCCCTCTCATGCCATGCCACTGCACACGCTAGTCTAGGAGGATAAGGGCTGCTCAGCATGGCACTGCGGAAGGGCGGTGGGGAGACACGTGGATTGGGGCAACACAAGGGCATGGGTCGGGAAAGGAGAAAGGAGAATGACGAGGGTGTGTGTGATGGAAATGGGTTGCTCATTTCGGTGTGCAGGGATGGAGTGCGGTGTGGCACGCTCATACTGGCATGGTGGAGGGAGCATGGGCAAGCGCAGTGGTGGTGAAGGACGAGAGTGCGCACATGAGCTCGTGCTGCTTGCATCCCCTCTTGTGAAACAGCCGTGGAGGTGGAGGGCAGAGGGAGAGCCGATGAATGTGGGCAGCGTGCAGTGATGAATGGAGGGCGATTGCCTCTTCAACGCCCAGCGTTGAACACTCGAGGTGCAAATGACCTTGTGGTGCGGTCCAGCACACTCTCCGCCACCCCTTTTCCCACCCCACCTCTGCCGTGCCCTTGGCCCTGCCCGCCACGGAGCAGGTGTTCAAGGCGGTGGGGTGGCCGTGTGTCACAGGGCTGCTGCAAGCACATGGCGCTCACAGCACATCCGTGCACCTCACACAGCGACAGGTGTGTGCATGTACGCATGCACCATCCCTCTCATATGCTCTCTCACCACCAACCGTGCTCTGCCAGCATGGCAACTACCTCACCCTACCCTCGGGACCGCATTCCTCTGGGCGTTGCACTCTCTCCACCACCCACTCGCACCTCTCCAAGTTGTATGTCCAGCCGCACTGCGCACTCCCATTCACCGGCACCTCCATATTCCCCCCACGCCCTGCACGCACATTCTTCTCCATGTGTCGCGCAACCTGGCCCCCGTGCCCTCACCGCACGGAGCAGGCGTTTCTGCTGGCGCTGGGCTTCTCATCGGAGCTGAGGGAGCCGTACGGCACGCCCAGGGCGCGCAGGTGCTGCACGCACGTGCCCTGCTGCCCTGTTTCTCCTTCCTACCTCATCACTGCACTCGCACCACTATCTTCCCTGCTTGCCTTCCAAGTATTGTGCATTCTTATTGTATACCACTTTCTGCCGTCTGGTCCCCTTATGTCGCGCCTTCATTCCTTTCTTTTATCCCTAGACACGTACCCCTTTTTGTGAGAGGCACTGCACCGTGACTGGGAGAGTATGCAGGTATTCGATTTCTTAGTTCCCCCTCTCCCATCTCCTCATTCCCTTGCTCCCAACAACTCCCCTGGTCACACTGCCTTGTCACCACCTTTCCCCTCTCCTAATCTGTGCCGCCCTCATCTCGGCTCCCCCCTCGTGCCTGTGTCTCGCCGCTCACCCTGGCCTGGGCAGGTGGCAGGGGATGTCAGTGGCGCAGCAGAGGCGCGTGGCGCAGCGCGTGGAGGGGGAGAGCCGCGCAGTGAGCGTGAGGGACCTGAGCGCTGTGGAGGAGGCCTCGCTGCTGCTGCAGCACGTACGCCATGGGGCATGGGCCATGGGCCATGGGGCATGGGCCATGGGCCATGGGGCATGGGGCATGGGGCATGGGCCATGGGGCATGGGGCATGGGGCACGGGGCATGGGGCATGGGGCACGGGGCATGGGGCATGGGGCATGGGGCATGGGCCATGGGGCATGGGGCATGGGGCATGGGGCATGGGGCATGGGCCATGGGGCATGGGGCATGGGGCATGGGCCATGGGCCATGGGCCATGGGCCATGGGGCATGGGGCATGGGCCATGGGGCATGGGGCATGGGGCATGGGGCATGGGGCATGGGGCATGGGGCATGGGGCATGGGCCATGGGCCATGGGCCATGGGGCATGGGGCATGGGCCATGGGGCATGGGGCATGGGGCATGGGGCATGGGCCATGGGGCATGGGGCATGGGGCATGGGGCATGGGCCATGGGGCATGGCGCATGGGGCATGGGGCATGCGGCATGGGGCATGGGGCATGGGGCATGGGGCATGGGGCATGGGGCATGGGGCATGGGGCATGGGGCACGGGGCATGGGGCATGGGGGACGGGGCATGGGGGACTGGGCATGGGGGACGGGGCATGGGGGACGGGGCATGGGGGACGGGGCACGGGGCACAGGGCATGGGGCATGGGGCATGGGGCAGGGGGCATGGGGAATGGAGGGAGGCAACAAGGGGATGGGGACAGGGATGGAGGATAGGGCATTGGAGATTGAGAATGGGCTTTTTGAGAAGACACGAGGTGTGGTGAGACAAGATAATGGGGATGAATGGATGTCTCACCGGTGTGAGGCAGGGCTAAGTGTCCCTCGATGTTGTCCTCACCATGTTAGCAAATGTTTCGTGCCTTGTGTGGTCTTGCTTCAACCTCGTTTCTCTCACTCCATCTCCAGGAGTCCTTGCTTTGCTTCCATGTGCATCTCATGGCATGCCCACATGCTCTCCCCCAGGCACAAGGCGACAAGGGCTACCGCAATGACAGCCACAGTGAGTGCCCCCGGGCCTTGTTCATCCACCACGCCTTACCGCACATGCCTCACTGTTCGCCCTTCAGTTTTGCTGCTTTTGGCTCACTGTTCGTGAGAATTCCAAGACTCACCCCTCTGGTCGCAGCTGCGATGTGCCGTGTCATCGCCCATGCCACCTTCACCTCATCTCCTCTTGCCTGCCTTCTCTGCCTGCCAACCATTTTACTGTACTCAACGCCCTTGTGTTTCCCTTGCCTCCTCTCTCGATGCTCCTCCTCCCTCATTCCCTTGCACCCTTCTCTCCCCATGCCCCGGCCACCAGTCGCAGCAGCCATGGACAACCGGGGGTCGCCAGCGGACATGGCAGGGCTGCTGTGCAAGCTCACCACGGCGCGCCTGCTGCCATGGCCGCGTGCCACTGCACTGTGCCTGCACACCATGGCCATGCAGGTGCCACCTCCACTCTTACCCTGCACCCACATGCGATGCGCGATGTGTCTCCTTGCTGCCCCTGCTTCTGGCACCTCGTCTCTGTGCCCATGATTTCATTCCTCCCTGGCACCTCGTCTCTGTGCCCATGATTTCATTCCTCCCTGGCACCTCGTCTCTGTGCCCATGATTTCATTCCTCCCTGGCACCTCGTCTCTGTGCCCATGATTTCATTCCTCCCTGGCACCTCGTCTCTGTGCCCATGATTTCATTCCTCCCTGGCACCTCGTCTCTGTGCCCATGATTTCATTCCTCCCTGGCACCTCGTCTCTGTGCCCATGATTTCATTCCTCCCTGGCACCTCGTCTCTGTGCCCATGATTTCATTCCTCCCTGGCACCTCGTCTCTGTGCCCATGATTTCATTCCTCCCTGGCACCTCGTCTCTGTGCCCATGATTTCATTCCTCCCTGGCACCTCGTCTCTGTGCCCATGATTTCATTCCTCCCTGGCACCTCGTCTCTGTGCCCATGATTTCATTCCTCCCTGGCACCTTCTACAGATCCCCATCCCCACCTTCCTCTCTGGCTTCAACTCTCCCTCCCGCCCTCGTTATCTCCTGTACTCTCCTTCTCTTCCTCTCTCCTTCTGCACCCCTCGCTGCTCGTCTTGCAGGTGTATGGGCAGCGGCGCCTGCCCTACTACCTGCCCCCCGCCACAACAGTGCTGCACAAGACAGGCAGGTCAGTGGCGGCCGGGATTCAAGCACACCCGCACAAGCCCCACCACGCTACTCCCTCACGTGCATCCTTAGCCGCCGGAATACCCATCATTCATGTCTTTTCCAGCTTTGTTTTCTTTGAATAGCAAAACCTTATGTGTCATTCATGTATTGTTGTGTTGCTCTTATTCCATCACCTTGGTTCCTTCAATGCCTTCCTCATACTAGTCCTCTCCTCACTTCTCTCTCTTCCTGCCAGCATACTCGGCACTGTGAACGCAGCAGGGATCATCCCATTGCCGCGCCCACCGCCCGCCCTGCACTCCTACCACATGCGCCGCCATCTCACCCGCCTGCCCTTGCTGCCCGCCGTGCAAGCCTCTCCTCGCCCCTCCTCTCCCGTGACCACATTGTTCTCCTCCCCGCCACGGTCCTCCGCGCACCTGCCGGGGTATGAGCACGCGGAGCGAGGGGTGGGTGAGGAGTCACTGCAAGTGGGTGAGGGGGGGGCAGTGGTGGTGGCAGCGTTTGTGGACAAGGTGTGGCGGCAGCATGAGAGGGAGGCAGAGTATGTGATTGCGCGGGCTAGCAAGCTCGCATATGACACATGGGGGGAAAGGCGACGGCTACGCCGCATGCTGAGCGCAAGGGAGAGGAGGCGATGGATGGTAGGGTAGCGATGCTTCTTTCAAGTGATCGGAAACTGGTTTCTATGTGCCGAGCTTGTATTCGGTTTCATGAACCAGTGTATCAGCTAGCAGCACAAAGGTTGCTCCCAGGTTGTTGTTGACCATGCAACTAAATCCAAAAAAAGCTACAGCGTGTGCGTTTGTGCGTGTATGGGGGTGCGCGCGTGTGACCCACTGGCTAAATCCACTAATCCCCAATCATTCTGTAATATACATCAGCACCTACAAACTCTAACAGCTTAATTGGAATAGTGAAACATCAGACCCTACCCTAACAGTCATTCCCTAACAGCTGTAATACCCCGGATATTAGACCCCCCCCGCCCTAGTTGTAGGGCCCTGCGTCTATAATACGAAGGGGGGTACGCTAAATAGGTCGTTTGAAGTTATACCCCCCAAATTGAGGGCTAACATTATGAGACCCCCCTCTCCCTACAGACCGGGTCATTTTATAGGCAAAGGAAGAAATTTCGATAAATTTTCTACCATTTTCCACAACAGACCTAAAAACATGTTCATAAGGAGGGGAAACAGCCAGTAAAAAGGGCACATTTACTCGAAAGGAGGACGTGCCAGGGTTTGAAGCGTGCATGCGGTGTGAAGGACGATGTGGCAAAGCATTGGTGCGCTGGGTCCCGCAAGATTGTGATGTGGTAACCACGTTTTGGGACCAATGGGAGAAGGCACCTAGTGTGATTGCTTGGTGACGTGCCTTTTGACGGTCGTCGAGTTCATTCCGCGTATTTCTTTTGAATGCTAAAAACAGAGCACATACTGTTCACATGTCTGGTTTCCAAGCACAAATAATATACATGACCTTATGATAAGACCTCGGTCGTATAATGTTAAGAACCTAAGGCAATCATGAGTGAATTGGGTGAAGGCTAGGGTACAAGACTAGGGTATCGAGAAAGTTTGTGTACCCCCTAGTACTAACCCCCATACCGCCTAGATAACCTAAACAATCATATATATATAATTTGACACACCCCCATAGGCGAAATGGGGGATAGCCAGAGCAAGCAACGGTCACAAGACCAGTCAAGAGAAGAAACAAAACACAGCTCAGGGTGGATCACAACGTCACCACACAGTCTGAGCACAAGCAAAAGACCACAAGGCCAGTTCACATGCAGAGATATATATATAGATTACAGTACAAACAAAGCCTACAGCAAGTGAGGAAGTGTGGGCACTAGGCCTAACAAGGTGCAGAAACGCTGATGATCACCAGGCGGAAGCGCCTTGGTGAATATATCAGCAGTGTTGGCCCGAGTGGCCACGTAAGCAAGACGAAGCTGGCCACGCTGCTGCAGCTCTCGAGCAAGGAAGTAACGCAGAGCGATGTGCTTCGTTCTGTGCTCCAGTCTGTGCTCCTGACACAAGGCAATGGCGGCCTTGTTGTCGACGTACAGAACTGGAGGAGAACGAGGCCGCTCTCCCAAGTCGGTCAGCAGGTAGGTGAGCCAGCGTAGCTCCTGTGCAGCCATGGCTGTGGCGTAGATCTCGGCCTCACAGCTGGAGCCGAGAACTGACGACGAACGTGTAGAACGCCAGGAAACTGAACCAGAACCAAGGCTGAAGTTGTAACCCTGTGACGACCGCTGCGTAGCCTGGTCGTCAACCCAAGAGGCGTCCGAGTGACCAGTGAGGACAACGTCACCCCGTCCTCCAAGCACGAGCCCCATGCCCGATGTACTGCACAAGTAGCGTAGTACCCTCTTAGCAGCATCCATGTGCATCTTTTGGTGCCGACCAGGAGCCACGTAGCGAGCCAGAAGGCCAAGAGGGTACGCAAGGTCAGGACGAGTGCAGGTCATCAGGTACATGAGGCAGCCCACTAGCTCTGGGTAAGGACCACTCGGCTCTACGGACTCGTCCGAAGGTGGAGCTGAGAGCGAGTGACCTGTAGCCAGAGGAGTGGCCTGTGCTGAGGACCAGGTGAAGCCGAAGCGCTGAAGGACCTGCTGCACCATGTGTGACTAAGTCAGTGTGATGGTGCGGCGTGCTCTGTCCCGAGTGATCTGCAGGCCAAGGTAGCTGCGCAGCTCACCCAGGTCTGTGCACGTGTGTCTCTTCTGCAGCTCCGACTTCACCAGGGCGAGTGCCTCAGTGTCAGCAGTGGCAAAGACCAAGTCGTCGACGTACACTAGGATGTAGAACGGCGGGAGCGAAGTGTCGGTGCGCAGAAACAGCGACGGGTCAGCAGTCGACGGGGCAAACCCAAGAGCCGCAAGAGTCGTCCTCAGTGTGTCGTGCCACTCACGTGGCGCCTGGCGGAGACCGTAGACTGGCCGTCGGAGGCTCCACTGGGTACCAGGAGGGAACGACCCAGTGAAACCAGGTGGACGGCGCAGCCAGATCTCCTCGTGCAGGCTGCCCTGCAAGAAAGCTGTGCTGAAGTCAAGAGAGTGAAGCTCGTAGTCACGCTGAGCGGCAACGTGCAGCAACACCCGAAGAGTAGTCATCTTCGGGGTGGGGGAGAAGGTCTGGAAGAAGTCAACTCCCTCTCGCTGACTGAAGCCTCGAGCAACGTAACGAGCCTTGAAGACAGGTGGAGAACCTGGCGGCCGCTTCACCCTGAAAATCCACATGCCACTTACGATGTTCGCCCCAGGAGGGGGAACCTCGTCGACGTAGGTGCCTGTGGACTTCCAGGATGCCATCTCTGCGTCCATGGCTGTCTGCCACTGAGAGGAGTAGGGACCCTCGATCGCCTCAGCGTACGATCGTGGAGTCGGGATGTCTGGTGCATCCGGGTCTCCCTCAGGGGCAAGCAGCATGGACACGAGATGAGGCGCAGCGGCTGCAAGACACTCAAGGTCCTCCTGCCTGTCCTCAAGGACGTCCGTGCCAAGAGCACACTCACCCCCGACGGACGGAGGAAAGACAGACTCAGACTCAGCAACAAGACTAGCGGCGTAGTCTAGACGACAGTGAGCAGCAAAGTCGACAAGCTCAGCGACTAAGGCAGACGCAGCAGCAGACTCAAACGACGGGTCGGCGACAACAGTGGCTAGCAGACGCGTGACAGTAGGGTGCTCAGCACGAAACCGGTCAGACTCAGGGTCAGCAATGACAGGTAGAGAGGACGCAGGCGGAGACGGCAGGGGAACACGTGGCGGCGGAGAGGAAGGACGACGGACGACAAGGGAAGGGCCGGGGACAGCCGGCTGACGCTGACGAGGAACACGACGACTGGAACGACCGGAAAGGACAAGTGAGACAGGACGCGACGCAGGCTCACGACGCTCAGCAAGGCCCCCTGTCTGCTCAGTGTAAGGAGAAGGAGCAGGCAGGGGTGAGCCAGGCTGTAACGGAAGACCAGTAGACGACGGGAGGCTAAGAACCTGGCGAAGCACGGAGCCAGGCGGGGGCAGAGACGACGGAGACGGCGGAGCAAAGAGCAGGCGCGGCTGTGCAGTGCCACCAGCACCAGCAGCTCCCGCACCCTCAGCAACTCCAGCGCCTCCAGCAGCTCCAGCACCCTCAGCAGCTCCAGCACCTCCAGCACCCTCAGCAGCTCCAGTACCCCCAGTAGCTCCAGCAACTCCAGCAACTCCAGTACCCTCAGCAGGTCCAGCACCTCCAGCAGTCCCAGTACCCTCAGCAGCCCCAGCACCTCCAGCAGCTCCAGAAACCTCAGCACCAGCCCAACCTGGTGCAGCACCCCCAGAACCGGCACCTCCAGTCCCAGGGTCTCCAACCGCAGTGCCACCAGCAGCAGCACCCTCAGACACGCCACCGTCAGCCCCAGCAGCTCCAGCACTCCCAGTACGAGCACCTCCAGGACCAGCGATACTAACACCTCCAGCAGGCAAAGGACCAGCACCACTCCCAGCTCCAGTGACGCCAGCAGGAGAACCCCCAGCAGTAGAGCCCTGAGGTGCAGAAGCGCGACGCTGACGGCGACCGTACCAGTCGTGCAGCTGCTGGGAGGTGAGAGGCACACGCGGACGAAGACGGCTACTCCAAGGAGACCGCGTAACAGCAGTCTCAGGACCCTCAGGCGACTCACTCCCAGACTCAGCACCCCCAGGCTCCGCACACGCAGGCTCAGCACCCCCAGACTCAGCACCCCCAGACGCAGCACCCCCAGACGCAGGACCTCCAGGCTCCTCACGCGCAGGCTCAGCACCCCCAGGCTCCGTACCCTCAGGCCCCTCACGCCCAGTGCCCCCAGACTCAGCACCCCCACGCTGCAAACCCCCAAGCTCCGCACCCTCAGGGACAGCACCACCACCAGCAGGACCGGAGTCACCAGTGACCTCAACAGGCGCAGGGACGGGAGGGTCTACCTGAGAAACACCTGAAGGAGCAGGACCTGGCGCGGGGAGGGGGTCTACCTGGGGAGGACCTGGGGCAAGAGAAAGCGGCGGGAGAGGGCGAGGAGCAGTGCGGTAGGGGAAGAGGCGGTAAAAGGGGACTGACTCGTCAAAGGTGACGTCCTGGGACGCAAAGACACGGCGCGAGGCGGGGTCGTAAAACTGCCAGCCAGGCGCGTCAGGGACGAAGCCAAGGAAGACGCAAGGAATGGCGCGAGGGGAGAGCTTGTCCGCGGTGGTATCGCGAACAAAGGCACGAGCACCCCAGACCTGGAAACGCGACGCGTCGCCAACCTTCCCCTTCCACAGAAGCGTGGGCGAGGTCTCCGGTAAGGAGACACGGGGCCAAAGGTTGAGCTGATGCGCGGCGTACCTGACGGCCACAGAAAATGGGGGGTAGCCGCATGGATCATGGAGGTACGAGCGACCTCCATGACTAAGCCAATGCGGCGCTCAGCAACCCCATTCTGCTGCGGAGAGGCCGGAAGCGTGAAAGTCTGGCGGATGCCGTGCTCCGCACAGAAGGCGGCCAAGAGGTCTGAGGAGAACTCACCACCCCTATCAGAGTGCAGACGCAGGACAGGAAAGTCCGACTGGAACCGCTCGCGGAGCTGGAGACGAGTAGCGCGGATCCAGGGGATCAAAACATCAGGGACATCCCCC